AAAATGTCCTGTTTCAACTAGGGCTGTCTAGGAGGGGGTTGGAGCAAGTGGGGCTGGCCAGAGGCACAGCGGAGGGAGCAGGGGGGAGGAATGAATCGGCCTGCGGGGAGTGGGACTGACCCAGCTATATGTAGATCTTGGGGCGCTGCCCCCATTCCCCTCCCTGCAAAGCACAAAGCACAAGTTAGTCCGGCCCAGAGATTCTATTGTCCCCCCTCTCTCCCCACACCCCTTCTCGAGTAGTTGCAAACTGTCTGGCTGGTAGACACACTCATGCAGCCTGAGCACATTTACCAGCCAGGCAGTTCGAAACTACAAACTGATACATCTAGTAATAATAAAACTTACCTAATGAGAAAATACCAGACATGCTATATGTATGGTATTTTCTCAGTTTGTTTTTTATGTGTTTATGTTTTTGGGCTGCAAAAAACAGTACTAAAAAAAAGGGTTCCAACTAAAGTAAAAAGTTTGGGAAACCCTGGTCTAACCAGCTTTCTGTCTGTCTTACAGTCCATTTATCCAATCCATATTCCTTAACTTGCTGGCAAGAATATTGTGGGTGACCATATCAAAAGCTTTGCTAAAGCTGGCACGGGGGGGGAGTGGGGGGTTGGGAGGACCAGAAACAACTTATTTGAATATTCATCATTTGATTAATGAATATGCAAATGGCCATTACTGGTCCTCCAAAAGTTCATGAATGGATTTACTGGTCCCTGTGTCAGAAAGTTTGGGAACCCCTGTGCAAGAGCATCCATGGCAGTGTAGACGCTCTTGCGCAAGAAAGCTCAGATGGCCATTTTAACCATAGGGGCTTCTTGCGCAAGAAATTCATGTTGCCTGTCTACACTGGTCTCTTCTGGAAGAGCTCTTGTGCAAGAGGGCTTCTTCCTGAGAGGGAACATCAGAGTTCTCGTGCAAGAAACCCTGATTTTCTATAGTACAATGTCAGTTTACTTGCGCAAGAATGAGTGGCCAGTGTAGACACAGCCTAAATGTATGCAGTATTCCAAAAGCCTGGGCTTGTTGGTTACCATTAACAGTTACACACAGGCTCCTGCCCTGAAATGCAGGCTTTGTATCAGGGACACATTCAGGAAAATAACCCACTTCCTTCCCTGACAGACACTGTTTTCTACAGAGACCCACAAAACACTGATAGATCCACTCCACCCATGTATCTGTCTCCACTGATTTTGACTCTGTATGCTCTGGGTGGTGGGTCAAGACAGCTTATTCACTGACACTTTGAAAATTCATACATCTTAATCTGGGACATTGCTGGTTATGTACACTGCATCTCATGAACTATTTTAAACCAATACTTGTAATCTCTCCATAACCCAAGCTTGACCCCCAAACACACACCAGCCCCCCATGCAGCCAGCACAGCTGGGCTCTCAGCCCCCTCAGGGCTCCTTCCTCTGGCCCTCCACCAGGACTCTCTGGTCAAGGAACATTCATGGTCCAGTTGCTGAACCAGAGAGTCCCAGGTTAGTGAGGTTCAACCTGTATTATGTCAACTTTCTTTCAAACATTAGCTTTAATAATATTTTACTGCTGCGATTGTAGATTCTGTTGTTATTACACAAAAATTGCTAATCTCTTTCTGAATTCTGTTAAGCTTTTTGCCTCAATGGTACCTTGTGGCAGTGCATTTCATGTCTAATTATACATTATTTGGAAAAGTATTTCCTTTTATTGGTTTTGTGTCTGCTTCTTGTTTTCAAGGGACATAACTAACTTGAAAATTACTTTTTATTTTAAAAAATTTTACTTTAATTGTGGCACTTAAGGTAACTGGAAGAAGTGTGAGTGAAAAACTTTTTTGCTCTGTTTTTTTGTTTTGTTTTGTAGATTTGAAAGCACTTTGTGCATAGTCAATTTCACTGTTTCCCTTGTGTAGCCAATCAATTTCTCCTGTGCTGAGAACAACAGAAACATTAACAGGCAAACTGGAAAACACTTTAAATATTTCAAAGGATTTTTTTAAAGCCATATTCCTCAGAAACTGGAGTATCTTTAAATGATTCATTTTAAGATTTTCAAAAAGATAGTGGCAGTTCAAATCTACCTAAGTAAATAAAGAGTATATATTTGATCAAATAACTTATTAAAGGATACCTTTTTCCTGTAGCTTAAAATATAAAAGCAACTTTATGTAAAACCAAATCTTGTGTTGATCAATTAAGAAAATCCACATTACTACTGTTACTTGTAAAACAATTTTTTTGAGAATTAAAAGGGGGAAATACACACGGACACAATCATTAAATATACTTTACTTTTGTATTCTTTAAGTGATCTAGCGGGAGCCTGAAATTTGACTTGAGCATAAGCAGTGAGATGTTTTGCCATTTGGGGGCTGTGAGGAGGTAAGACTGATTGGAAAATTAATTTACCTTTTAACTTTGTATTTAAGAGCTGGAAGTTTAATGTTTTTCAGTTTTTCTCTAAATCAGTCATTGGTTAGCCATGTGGCCTTTGACAGTTTTACCACAGTAGTGGCAATGCATTTTCAGCCATACAATGGAGGAAAGTGGTCAGATGCAGGCTGAATGGAACATAGGTTTTAAAATGGTTTTATTGCCTAAAAGAAAGTGACATGACAAAGTGAAAAATAAATATACAAAACATAATTGAATTCTCATGCTAGTAATATTTAGCATTACAGATAAAGTGAACAGTAAGGTAAAGTAAATTACTTTTAACGAAGATCTTCAATGTGAAAGTTATAAAAAAGTTAAGTTTAATAGGTTTTTATTCACAAATCTTCAACAGGGTATTATTTCATACGTAATTCTGTCTTGTAATCCTATTGCCTAACATCTTGTTAGTCGATATTTTGTTAGATAATATCTTTCACAAGAGTCAGGCTGCCCATCTCTGGCTGGTAATGATTTCGCTTTTGATCATGAATTCGTGTCTCTTATCTTCTTGATCTGAATGTGATTTTTGGGAAAATTGATCACTCCTTGAGCAGGAAGCCATGGACACTTTCTTTACATATTTTCTCAAAATTAATTACATTTCTTAATTAGACCATACAGTTTTGGGATACCTGAAAGATCTATTTTAATCTTTTCTGTGTATATTCTTCATTCTAATGCACAGGTTAATTATGGTCTGTGACTGTTTTTCCTTTCAGAAAGTTCAAAATAGATTTTTTTTTTTTGCATTAGTCATTTTTCCTCCTACAAATCATGTTTGTCCAAGATGTTAATATCTCAAGACACGTGTTCAGTAAAAGAAAAAAGTTATGAGGAAAAACTTGCATGTTAGCCATAGGTAATTTTTAAATATGAGAACAGGTAAGGTGTTGGAAGACTAGACCTCTTGCCAAGCAAATATGAAGAGATAGGGTGCTGGTATTCTTGAATGAGTAGTAATGCATCTTTTTTCAGGTTCTTTCTTTTCTGGGACTTCTAGTTTGATTAAATGTAAAGCACTTAGGAACATCTAGAAGGGAAAAATCTTCCTCTTACTGCCTCAGAGACTTCTGGTTACTGAAAAGAAGCTGTGTATGGGAGGGGATAACTTTTGCCATTGTGCTTTCCTTAATAACAGTGATTGAGCTGACCAGTCTTGGTAATTTCACTCTATGTCTTGGCTAAAGTAAGAGTAACAGAAGGAGATGGTAGCATTTTCTGTCAGCCAGTACAAGGCTTTTGTTTACATTTGATTCACATTTCAAAGATTATTTTCATAACTACAAGGTCTCCCCATATATGCCAGAGAACACTTTGTGCCTATCATGGTCAGGTGGATTCTTCAAGCCCTGTAAGTTCATTTAAATCTTAAATATTCACTTACCTGTTTTTATCAGCCTCATCAGTTATCTTGATGTTAACTAAAGGCAGGGCTTAAATTCAGCTGGAACCATCCAAAGCTTTGGGTAAATATTTTTAAACCTACAGGAGCCCCAGAGTCATTCCCTGGGAAATATTTGCGGAGAATTTAAGCTCTGACTAAATGGTTAGAAATACTGACAAACCAGATAATTAGGGTACTTATCTCAACCTGAGAACTCAACACTTGTTTTAAAAATTGTTAAAATTTAGACATGCATGTGAGACTCTTGACATCTGGCTTAGTTTTAATTGCTGGATGGAAAGGGATTCATATGAATGAATCTGCCCAAGTGATGTAAAGGAGATTTGAAGACAACTCTCTAAAATGTTAGGAATATATGCAGTCTTTTTTTATCTGACTCACTGTTTAATTATTTTGGAAAAGAAATGATTTGTCTCCCAAAGACCAAGCCATCTCGTGGTTAAATTCATATTGCAATGACTTACTCTTTTATGTTATTTGATATTTCAGAACATCCATATTTGCACAGGTCTTGGCTTGTAAAACATTATTTGATTGTCTGTCTTGGGTTTATTGATGATGGTTTTACCCAGTCTCTCATTAAATTTGAATTAACTGTGACTAACTACGGTGTTTGTTTGCAAAGGCTTTTGGTGACTGCACTAAAACTTGATTGATTGGTCAGCCTTTTGGACATCTTATTTTGAGCCTTGCAAAATTATCAAGATAATTATCTTAATTCAGGCGCATATTCTCCTACCCAACTTTTCCCCATTCCCAAAAATACTGCCAAAATGTTAGCCATCTTCTTTTATAGGGTAAGAGAATACACACAGTTTATTTGCCAGCAGAATTATTCATCCCAGGAAATCAGGTGAATGGAGTTTTATAAGGCAGTCTTATTATTTTTATATCGTCATCATTTCTATGCTAAGGATATGAAACTCTGCTGCTTTTCTTTCTTTTCTTTGCCTGTCTTGATTTAATCAACTTCTGACCATACTGTGATTGTGTGATTTATTTGTGAAGTAAGTTTTTTCTATAGTTTAAAAGAAAGACACTGCATAAATTAAAGTGTTTTACTTCTGAACAGAACTGAAGTGGTATTAGTCTTAGTTTCAAACTGAGTGTGAATACTAATGGAAGGAAAAATGACTTCTGGCAAATTAATTAGCCTAGTGTGTGAGATCAGTCAGAAAAAATTACACTGTTAAATATTTACCTTTTATACTCTGGCCTTGGTATTTATAAGTATGCATTCTTCATTTAACACAATAACCAGGACATTAACTTTGTACTATGGTCAGAAACTTAGTGATCTTTTTACCCAGAATTTGCCTTTTCCTCTTATTTCTCTTATCTGCCATGCAAATCAGTTCTCTTGTCATTTTGCCCGAACTTGCCCTTACTTTAATTCTGCCTCCTGAGATCCTTCTGGGGAGACCAAGAGTGTTGTGGTTATATAACAATTCCACTCCAGGAAATGGAACCATATCATACTTATTGCCTCGTGTTAGTTTTCAGATCAGTTCAGAATTGTAATTCTGATATTTAGTGTGTCTTTGCCTTTAGAGATTTCTGTCTGCTCTTTGCCCAGTACTTGCTCTTACAACCTTGAACTAACTCTTTACTTTAACTTTCCACAGTTGAAGCTTAACCTTTAACTTGTGCTTTCTGTCTAGAATTTCTTCACCCAAACGCTCCTGGTCTTCAAATCTTACTTTAAACAATCTTCACTTATGACTGAAATTAAATCTGTCAACATCCCTCTTCTTCTCCCTATTCTTGCATCTATCCTTACTTTTAGCACTCTCATTTTCAAGTAACAAACTTATTTTCTTTCACTCCAGGCTACCTCCTTTCATCATTTTATCTTCTATATAAGAATATGCTTGGAAAGCTAACTAAGTTTGCTCAGGTTTAAAAATAACCATGGACATGTGGTTTTCAGAAGTGAACAAGGGATGCCGTTTCTGTGTTAAAGTATGTTTATTTTTTAACCCAGACCTAATAATTTGCTTTGTAGCACTCTGCTATTCTTGGATGAAGAGTGCTTTAGAAATATTAAGCTTCTAGCTACTTTTGAACCTTTAAGTTATGGGCATTGGCAGCCCTCCATACCTCTGACTGTTCTAATCGCCAATCTTTAAAAGAGGTATTTGTGTGGAGAATTTCATGTATGAGCATTTAACATATGTCCATTACCTTCTCCAAATACCACTTTTTGAATGCCACTAATCATAAGTATCAACCATTGATGAAACACTATAAGCATACTCTGGTTAAATGGGATTTTGTAGATCCCATGGGACAAAATCCAGCTTTCTACTGGCTTGGTTTTAAGTGAATGCAGTTCATATGAGTTTTTGCACCATTTTGGTAACAGTTCTTTTATGTTGTTTATATCACATCATCAGTGGTTACTGTAATACATAAAGCTTTTATTACCTTGTTAGGTTGTGTCTGGAGAAAATATTGCTACAGTGGGTTCTTCAGGCAAGAGGTTTGTCAGGGGCTGAAGCCGTCAATGCTCTCAGACCTTTCTATTTTGCTGTGCATCCAGATTTCTTTGGCCAGCATCCCAGAGAGAGGGTAAAAAATAAATGTTTGTTTCTAGTGGTGTTTTCATGTTTATAGTCTATGAAGAATGGAAGTAATTTATTAGTTTAGTTTTTATACTATCAATGTTTGGCCTACTGTTTATAGAATTATAATGCTTAATATTGGTGATTAGGAAAGTACATCTTTAACAAGATAATGTCCAGCAAATTCTCATAATTTGTACAGTGTGTATCCCCAAACTAACTGATCAGCCTTTTTTGCTTGCTCTGACAATCTGGAGTCTTAAACCATACAAAACATAGAACTAACACAACTCTCAATTTTATTTTCTTAAACCTATTGCTATCTTAGAAATGGGCAGTATTGGACAAAGAATGACCTTTATACTTTTAATTCAATTTAATTTTTGACCTGTTTTTGGCAGATACATGCTTTAACTTCTGTTTACTTTTTTTACCATAATTTCTTGCAATGAAGACAATTTTTAATAAAATTAGTCATTTGCTTTTTTGTTATGAATACACTGTTTTTCATGGAATTGTGAACTATATGTAATATTTTGAAACTTTTATTATGGTTATTAAACTAACATTGTTAGCATGTTTATTTAAAAATAGACTATGTTGAGAAAGCAGGCAAAATATAATATTTACAGTGGTTTGTATTTTTTTTTCCTACAGGAAATCAATGAAAACTCTCTTAAGAGGTTAAATGGCTATTTGGAGAATCTCCAGAAACCAGGATTTAAGTATTTTAAACCAACTTCACTCACTTTTTATGTGCGAGAGAGAGAACAAAATTCTTCCGATGTCCAAGAATCCTTCAGTGCTTCAGGTGCTTTTTTAATCTGATAATTTCTCTTGAAAAATTAAATGCTGAAAATCCATTCCGTAGTTTTGTACTCTCCACACTTTTATAGCGCCTTATCTAATACCCATTTATGTTATTTGGCATTGGACCAGGTCCGTAAATGCCATCCTGAGTAATTACACATTTTTCTAAGAGAAAATCTTTATTGGAAGTGATTTATAATAGGATTAAATGTAACAGAGAGTCCAGTCAATAATCTTACAATGAAATTGAAATAAAATCCTGAAATACTTGCCAGATACCAATGTGCTTAATTTCACTGTCTGTGTTTAACTTGAAGATAGTTTAGGATATTACTTTTATTTTCTCATTATTTGGTCCAGATACAATATGTAGACTATCGGTGTGTATAGAAGTGCTGAATGACCTAGAATAGCAGAGGTACAATTTAAAGTGAAATTTGTAAATTTCAAGAGATCATTGTTTAAGAGAACATTGGATGATTCACTGGAAAGTTTGGTATGCTTGTCTCTCTCTGAATTTTCCTCAGATTTTTTGTACAATTTTGTTTAATGAAGTGTTAGGCTGCATTTTAATTTATGTTCCTGTGGCCAGAAAATTCTCTCACAATTAATTTTGAGTGAGCCTTCTGTGAGAAGAAAATCAGACTAGCCTGCAGAGAAGAATAGTGATATTTGAGCCACTTATATCTCAGACTAAAGTGGTTTTATTTTGTAGTCAGAACAGTGGGCACTAGGTATATGTGTTTCTGTTTCTGCCTCTACCACTGACTTGTGACACTCTGTGAGTCCATTAACATCTGTGTCTTAGTTTCTCTATCTAACAAGTGTAATGCTTCTCTCTTGAATTGTATAGGTTTTGAGGTTTTCTCTTTGTGAAGTGGCCTTATATCCTTGCCAATCTATGTTGCATTTAATACAAAGTACAGGCAGTCCCCAGGTTACGTACAAGATAGGGACTATAGGTTTGTTCTTAAGTTGAATTTGTATGTAAATCGGAACTGGTACATATTTTGGGGAGGGGGACGGGGAGCTGAGGTTAGGTGGAAAAGACCCTGATTCTCATATAACTTCCTTATTCTAAGAAAAAACACATACTGTTTTGATATGAAGGTTTTTTTGGTTGATATTTTAATTAAAAATTGATCATAAGTTTCAGTGTTTCATGCTATATCCAAATCTTCCTTTTGGGGTACCTGAAAGATCCCAGTTATTCATTTAATAGTCAGAATCTTTGTTTTTTATAACTAAAAAAAGTTTATTCAATGAATATTACTGTTCCAAATAGAATTTGCTACACATGGTTCAGTGAAATGGGTATTAAGTGTAATCAATAGTCATTGGAGAGCACAGTGAAATATTGATACAATCAAAGCTGTTGTTGTATTCTGCTGAGCAGAAAATGGAAATCCCTTCCTGTGAAGTGTGTGTGTGAATTTATCCACAGGATTAATTTTAAAGAAAAATTCTGTGTGGGGAACAGGAGTTTAGCCACAGGTGGGTCCTCATTGTCCACTCACCCACTTTGCAACCAGACCCATCCCCTCGGGGCTTACCCTGCTCCGCTCCAGCCAGGATGTGGGGTTGGGGCTTATCCCCTCTTCCCTTCTGTCCTGCTCCTCCCCATTCTTGCCCACCCACACCACTGGGTAATTTTTCAGCTTCACCTCTGCCAGGCTGGAAGGGACTTGTTAATTTCACGTGACGCTAACAAGATACTTGCAGCTCTAGTGCTGAAGAGGGGAAGAGCTGTTGCTCCCAAGGTGGGGACTGTAACACAATGGGTCTCACTGCCTGCTGCTCCTGCTGTTCCCTAGGAAATTAATTTTTCTGCTCTGCGGTGCCCCCTTTTGGCTGGTGTCTTGTTCCCCCCAGCAGACCCGTGTCCTCCACGGCACTGGCGCTAGCTCCGCATCTCCCTGGTCTGCTGGGGGGAGGGGACTGGCGCTAGCTCCGCATCTCCCTCGTCTGCTGGGGGGAAGCTCCTCCCGCGCCGCTGGAGGCGGCGACAGTGGGGGAGGCACCCCGCACTAGTTGCGCTCCCCCCCCCCCACCCCGTTTGTAACTAGAGATCCGACGTAAGTCGGATTAATGTAACCTGGGGACTGCCTGTAATGGGTTTTTTTTAATCTTCTATAAAGGATTATTGGACAAAACTCTTAGAGTTGAAGCCATAGCAGTGTTTGTGCCTCTTTGTATTTATTTTTTATTTGTCCCAATTGCAGATAAGCTTCAGACTTCCCCATTGAGACAGATAGTTAAAAAATCCTAATAGTTTTAGCTCTGGACTTGTACAATTGTAAATATTAAACTATATTCTGATGCCTTCTGCCATGAAGATAGTTTGAAATCTGCAGTATTTGTTAAATGTTATAATTGAACTATGACATTTGTCATATAATGTATGGTTTGTTTTAGCGTTAAGACAAGAATGAAACAATGTAAATGTATTGAAAAGCTCTGCTTTTTTGTTGAATATAATATTAATTGTTTTGAGGGTTGCATTTTATAGGTTTTCGAGCCGTCACTTTTACTTTGCATACCAGAGATCTACTAAGCACAGTATTAGACATTCTCAACTCCTGCAGCTTATCTACTGAGCATGTCCAAAGTTTGAATGCTAATGTGAATTCTCAGCCTCACAAAGAAGTCAAAGGGACATTTTACAGGTCTATCAAATGGGATAAGACTTATTACTCATTTACTGGATTCAAGGATCCCGAGGAGGAACTAGAACAAGCCCAGAGAGTGGAAACTACTCTAATGTAGGTAAAAGTTTTTATTTAACTAAACTAGTCTTTTGTAGTATACATTAAATAGTCTGATTTTAATAGTAGTAAAATAGGGAGGTTACGAATTTTGGACAAACTGCTAAGTTATCACTCCAAGTATTGTTCCTTATCCTATAGTGAAATAACTGAAGGGTGCTCAAATGAGCAAGTGCATTAATCATACAGTCTGGTGAATGATAGGCAAAAAGCCAAGGAATGTCATGGATCATGCATGTTCAGTTGTTTCAAATGTGCATGTTTAATCCTAGTTTTTAACTGATTTGCTATGGAATACCACTATAGATTCACTAGTGGAATCAACAGATTTTTCCAGGTGTTATAATTCAGACAGTACTCTACTTCTTATAATACAGGCAGTCCCCGGGTTACGTACAAGATAGGGACTGTAGGTTTGTTCTTAAGTTGAATCTGTATGTAAGTCGGAACTGGCGTCCAGATTCAGCCGCTGCTGAAACTGACCGCCAGTTCTGACTTACATACAGAATCAACTTAAGAACCCCAGGCGTCCCCAAGTCAGCTGCTGCTGAAACTGATCAGCAGCTGATTCCAGGAAGCC